AGTCTAAATGTCAGTGTTTTCTGGGCTCCTAATGTGTTCCTAAAATAGTATCTCCATTGCTGAGCCTCCGTGAAAAGGCACGCTCAGAAAAGGCATAGTGAGTCTGACTCACAGCAGAGGCAACAGAAACACCATGCCATCCCAAAGCCAATTAAACATGCATGGGGGTGTATGTGACCTCAAAAAAGCCAGTGGATGGATGGCCACTCTCTCCCCCATCTTTTCCACTCTGTAGTTCACCCTCTGTCACTCTTTCACTAAGTCCTTTCTTTTCCCCCTTTTTGCCAATTAGAGTGAATTATTCAGGGTGGCCTGTATGTACCTGTTAAGTGTTGTTCTTCCAATGAGCACACTCACAGAAAATTGAGGTGAGGAGACAAAGAGCAAGAGTGCATATGCTGCGGCACACAGGCTGGGATGCGCAAGCAGATGAGCTGGCATAGAAAATGTCTATGCATTCACACACTAGCATACACACACACACACACATATAGGTCAGTGGAGGGACCCCTGTGCATTTTGATGTGTTTCCAGAGGTCAGGGCAAGGCTAGCCATTCAGGAGCTAATATGATGTGGCTTTGAGAAAAGACTAATTAGCTTTCTCTAACGGCGAGCTTCTAATCAACTAAGGGATGGCCACATAATGATAGATGGAATTCCCAGACAATACAATTAAAATTGTGTAATTTAATACAATAAATTCCATTGGCAGCCCAGGAATTCTAGAATGTGAGGTCACGTGTTTCATTCCATTCTACTCCATCAGAACCGAAACTAGATACCAGAATGGCTGAGAAATATGCCTCTTGTGCTTTATAATGCTTAACAGTGCAGAAGAAGGAAATGGGATGGAAATCTTGAAATGTCATACTGTATATGGATGGGCTGATTTTCCGCATTTAATCAAATTCAAACTCAGCTGTAAATGTCATAGTTGCCTTAATTAACAGAGACCACAATGTAATATCGGTTTCACAATGGGGGCTTCTTGTTACCATGCCATTCATTCACATTCATCGCTAATGCCGGATTCCACTTGCATACCAGGTTGCATCCATCACAAAGTACTTAGGGACTGACTCGCTGTGAGAAAATAGCGCACTGATCAGCTTCAACACTTTGTCAATCAACCTTTGTTTCTAGATAAACAAAGTTAAAACATCTGTATCATATGCGCAAACTCCATCTGCTGAAGAAGACTGTGAGATCGTGTTAAAAGCTCAGTAAATGGACCTTGACTTATTTGTCTAAACCTGTATTACATATATGGTATCCACAATATTATCCCTCAATTACTGATAGGATATAAGAGTCTGTGAGTCATGTTCTCTAATTGTGTTCTATAACAGCCTGGCCTGCCTATTTCTATTTCTCAGCAGTCTGACGACTAGCTAGAACATTTCTGAACATGTACTTTTTCAACAACTAAGAACTATTTAAATCTAAGAGTGAATTTCCAGGAAGTTATTGTGCACATCTTGCTCTGTTTAGCTTTTTGTAGTCCCTGCATTACAGTTGCCACATTTAGATTCCCTCAGCTTGCCACAGTCATTAATTAATCATATACAATAAACAGACTGATTCCCTTTAATTTATACTCCTGCTCATTCTTGCAGTCTTCTGCTTTTGGTTTGTGAGCTGAGTCTGAGAGACATGTCACCTTGTAAGACATACTGAATGCCTTCCCTTGAAGGAGGGAAACAGAGAGAGCGGGAAGATAACACAGCCAGGCAGCACTAACCGATCAGAGCACTCCAGCAGAGATATGACCCACATAGACCAATGCTCGTTTAATCAGCCTGCTACTGGCAGCGTGGCGGGAAAAGAGGGAAAGGCAGGGAGAGGGGGAGTGTGAGTGTTCGGTGTCTTTTAAAGAAAGCTGAAATACATTTTTTAAACAGCAATTTCTTTCCACGTTTTTTCTTTCTCCTTTTCTCACACTATCATTAATTTTTGCTCCCTCCTTCACACTGGTCTCCCTGCCTTTTCTTATTATTTTCCAACTCCCCCTTCTCTATCGTTTTCTTTTCTTCCCTTCCATAAACCGAATACACGATCAAAGCAGATAAAAATTGTATTAGTCCTGATTAATACACTGATACAGCGCAGAGATTAAACCCAACAAACTATGTGGTGCCACTACTACAAATAAAAGGGCACATGGCAATTTCATGAAGCTTTTGATATTCATCCTAAGCCAAATAAAAAAAATATATAATTTCTCTTTTCACATGCATAATGGAAATTCATTGTAGGTCAACCACTGATAATAACTGCCTCTGACAAGATTATGACCATAAATCATCTCTTTTCATATTATTATTCAGTTGTACATCAAGTCTGCAAATCTACAGCTCCAACAAATATAAACCAAACTGACATCAGTGTGAGAGAAATGATAAATGGATGGGTTTAGGTTGCAATGTCATTACACTGCTAATTGTTCTGGTACCATTAACAGATAACTAATGGGTCAGCCTTGTTACAGTCTCACAGAACCTATTTAGAGGTATTGAGGTCTGAACACCTAGCTAGGATATTAGTGAATGAAAGGAAGTATGATGGACTGACCTACAGGGTTTAGGTGGCATAGATAATTGCCTGTGAGACAAACCACCTGTGAGTTGGCTGTGCACCTGTGCACCTTACTCTCATTTAGTACCATTTTGATGTTAAGGATCTCAGAGTTGCCTCAAGCGGAAGAAATTGTCTCTCCACTTGGAGAACCGTGTTATATATAACCTGACTGCATTACACAGAACGATCTGGGAAGTCGTTGGAAACTGTTTGGAAAAGGGCAGGCACTTTAAAAAAATATACTTTGCAGGTGATTGGATGAATCATTTGACCTATATATGATCTATCACGGACTTACTTTAACCAATCATAGTAATCATAGTTAAACTCTTACCAAAGCAATTTGGGAAAAGAGAAAAAACATTTTCTCCACTGAGAAAATCCTTCAGTGCTGTTCTTTGTTCTTCTTCAATGAATAAATACTCTCTGGTTCTGATATAACTACACTAACCTACACCCACCCTGGCTGCCAGTAATTCCTCAATGGACGCTGATTGGTCTGGTACCATGTAGTTTGGCCACAAAAAAGCATAGATTTAAGCCTGGTAAGATGGATTCTCATGTCTTATATCTTGTGTTTTCGCGAGTCTAGCTGCCTCGCAAGGTTAGGTTGTATGTGTAACACAAAGTTTTTTTTAAAGACTAACACACATATGGTGTTTTGCCAAGGCCAGAGGCAACTGTGCTATTTTCCAGTGTACATGCATACCATCTCTTCAGAAAAGCCGCAGTTTTATCACCCTTACTTTTACTACGGGCGTCATTTTAAGTGTGTCAAATGACACAATCTACACACTGCCAGGAATCAGAGCAATGTTGCCCTCCATGAGATGATGTACCAAAAAATCAAACCAGTATATCTTCCTTAGAAAAGACCAGTGTGCAAATATGCATGCAGGACTGTAGCCCATTGCAAACAAGTTATTTACAAATCCACTCTATATACACAGCCTTAGGCCTGCAAGTACTACCACACACAAGAACTGCTGCTTAAAGCAAATGTGTCAGATGCTACCAAGGTCTTGCACTACAGACAAATGAGAAGAGCATAGGAGTTTGTTCTATCCTGCCCTCCAGAGCCAAAAATGACCAAAAAGGTGCCCTTACAACTGATGGTATAGGCATAGACCTGTTGTGTAACATCCACAGTCCAGTGGGAAGACCTGGACAGTGATAGGCCCGGGAGCTGTGGTTTTAAAAAGACAAACGAATGTCTTTTATGCACAGCATACACTTTCAGAGCACCGACAGGACTACATTTTGGCAGCAATCTGTGCTAATGCTTTCATTTTGGAAGATGCCAGCAACAGTAGGAAAAGCTTAATACTACTGGTAGTTTCCCATTTTTGCAATTTAATTGTTGCCAGCATTTCCTAGAGTATAGAATGGGACATCCCAGAGTCTAGAAACCCTACAGTGACCTGTTTGAGAAATCTTCCAACTATTTGTGTAAATGAATCACACTGAAGGTACCAAAGGACCCCGCAATGTCTCCACCCGTAACAGCTAGGTCCACTCAAAGGCCAAGCTCAAAATTCGAGTTCAACTTGCTCTGTAACAATAAGTCTTGCCAAGCAAGACGGTCCCATGAGGTCTCATCTGACATCTGCGGGATTTCTTAGAACCATGGAATGTGTAGTCAATACGAAGCTCACTTCTTCTCTCTGCACTGTTTATGTGAGTGATAGAGGGAGGAAAGGAGGAAAAGACATTGATGGTTTGTGGCTTATTTTCCAAGGTGAGGGGGTTGTTCGCTAAAAAGAGGAACAGCAGACAGATAGCTGGATTATCTCTGCACATGGACCACCCTCAAAGATACAAACCAATCTTTGGGCTATTCAGAAGCATGGGGGAAACTAAACTACCCTGACTGTTGATGTAAGATGCAACTATACTGTCCATCCTATATTGTTCTTGCAGGGTGCAGACACCAAAGGAAATGGCAGAGGGCTTGCTGTGCTGTACTCATTTGCAGGACAAGTATGCCAAACCAAGAATACAGGTGCTGAGTAGTTGACTAATTTTTGCCTGATCCAGTATTTTACATTTACTGAGTTTTGTAACCTGTTGGTAACCAATACATACATGATCTTTAGAGAACCATGATGGACAGGTAAATTAAATCTTGTATTGTGATACCTCGTTTTTATCTCTTTAGTATCCCACTGTTGTGGCATTCTACAATGGACACTGTTTCAGATGCAAGATCTTACAGCAGGTATTTGGCCTAAGTAGTAACGGCTGATATGTTACACAAACATATGTCTATTACATTTATGATTACCTGTTTTCAACCTAACCATCAAGTGACTATTTAAGTGCTTTTATGTTGTGCGTAGCAACTTCATAGGTGGTTATAATGTGTTTGCATTTAATTTTGCTGTAATAACTGATAAGACTCAAGAGGCGGAAAACCGCAAAGCTATGTCAGTAATTTATTTGTTGGCAAACAACTTTCACTGTTACAACAAATATTAGTTATGAGATCATTCAACTTGGAACCCATACAAAAAGAATAAATAATTAGCAATAATATTGTAATAATAATCATGATCATAATAATTTAAAAAAAGAACCATAAAACAAACCCAGTGCCAGTTTATTTACTCCTGCCTAAAGCCAACTTTTTTTTCCTCCAAGCTTGTTTTGCTGTCTTTAAACCAATAAACAGATAAATAAATAATTTCTCTCTTGGGGACATGGAGGGGGCTTGTGGGATACATGTGCAAGCTTCACTTCATACACTTATGAAATTTTCCTCCTAAATAAGTAAACATTGGCTTTCCACATTGGACAGTGCAGATGTGTGCAGAGTTTTCACATCTTCAGTACACATATATGGTGTAATCATGGCATTTCACACTTGAGACCCACCCTTTTTCAAATAGTGGAAATTTTTTTTAGTTAAGAGAATGACATTTATTATTCTTTTTCTGTACAAGATCTCAACCCGCAGAGCAAGGTAATGTCAATTGGCAGAATATTTGGCAATAGAGAGGATATGCTTCATAAACCTTTCTTGTGTTACCTCAAATATCTGGTATTTTTGTAGTTTTTTCTCTCCCATACTCCTCTTTAGGCCTAAAGGAAGACAATGCTTTATTCAAGAACAAATGAGATGAGACCCACTTCCAGCGAAGGCTAAAATGTTGCATTTCCATAGTAACTGTCTCATAACTTTGCCGCTTCACTTTCCTTTTCATTTTAAATCTACACAGTGGTAAAGTATATAGTAACAATTGATTTGCAAAATGTAAGTGACAGTGGTGTTGCTATAAAAAGGACCAGAATGAAGTGTGTGTAGGGTATATGAGTATTAATTAAGGAGTGCTTAACTGTCGCTGTATTTACGAAAGAGTGACATGAAAGATTGTTCCTTGCTCGTTCTGTAGTCTACACGTGACTAGATGTCATCACATTTCAACATTCAACAGTTCCACAGACAAAAGGTTTGCAATGTAAAATTCAAAAATAAAAGACTTGGTCATATGCAACATTTGTATCTGTATCTGTATTCTGTACAATACATAGAAACAGTTTGTGATTTCTTTATAGTCCTTTTGATAACTGAAAACTTTTACAGAAAGGAGAAGAAACGGAACCCATTCTTTTTTTTAATTCAGTCTGTTGTAATATGATCTTCCTTCTTTGTTTTCAGTGAAATGCACAGTAGCCGCTGTCACTACAACTTGCAGGAATGTTACACCAGCCCAGACAAAACTCCAGTTTAGCAGATACGAACAGGAAGAGAATTCAGAACATCAGCGTGATATGGGTATAGTTCGGTTGCCCAATAAAATAGTTTTTGGGATGATCAGTAGTGAGGGCATATATCATACATCCTCCACTTGATTGGCAGGTAGTGGGGCAGGGCCTCTTTAAGGCCAGTTTATCTTGTGAACACCAGAGTTTAATATCCTGCTCTACCCTTTGGAGAGGTGGAAACATTATCCCAGTATGTGTCTTTAAGAGTGAGACAGAGAGACAGACATACACACAAACAGACAGGCAGCTCCTTTAACCAGGGCTGGGGGCCACGCCCCTGTAGTGGTGGTAGTGGAGACTATATGCTATTATCTGCTAGAGGTCCATATTGAGGAACTTGTAGGGCTTCAGTCAATCCAAGATTCCAAATAAAGTAACAGGTAGGGTAAAATTACAGAATCCCTCCCCATTCCTCTCTATTCCAGGTTAAAAGTTCCACTTTTGTTTGATGTTCACAAAAAGTCTCTCAGAACCACCCTTTCAGTCTGCACCATTTATGACAATACATTCAGTCCCTGTTTTCATTTGACCGGCGATAACTCAACTATATTGTCATGAACCATAGTTAATATCACACACAGTACATCATTCCAGGGTGACAGGCCAGCTCAGACTGCCAGTCAACGACACAGAATGTTTTCATTGGAGGGTTGGAAGTGTGAGAGTGGGCTGGGGAGGGATAGAAGTCTCTTGATTGGCTCTATAGACTGGTAACCAGGTGGGAAGGGTCTATGGGCGGCTCCTCGGGCGACGAATCGGACTCCTCCTTGCTGCCGGACACCATATATCCATCACTGCCACCACGGCCCATGTGGTAGTAGCTCTGTAGCTCGTGAAGGTGATTCCTGGAGCCCAAGTTTGGCATGCTCTTATAATAGACGTCATCAAGCTCCGGAGCAGTGGCACTCTTACAGGGCTGCAGCTCCCCAGAGCTGTCTTCCTCTCCGTCTGTTAAACCGTTCATCTGCCCATCCGGGAGGTCCGTCAGCACTGGCATGCTGGTGTACAGCGAGTCTCTGTGGTTCGGCGAATGCGTGTGCTCGTCAGTGTGCTCGTTGGTCAGCAGGGGGAAGAAGCTCTCGCTGGTCTCCTGGGGAATGCGCCGTGGACGGGAGAAGCTGTGGGGAGGTGGCGGAGGTGGGGGGTGGCTGTCTGGTGGAGGAGGCCGTGGTGGGAGGAGCGGAGCGTTGGACTCCTCTCTTATAATCTCCAAACCCAGGTTCTCCTCATGGGGGAAGGCTGCAGGGTTGTCCAGCACCATGGGACCATTGTCCTCTTTACTGCTGCCCACACACCCACCTACCCCACTGCTGCTGCTGCTGCTACTGCCTCCTGCCATGCTCCCTGAAAGACCAGGCAGGAAGAATAGTTAAAGCATATTTCTGCTCATTTCAACAAAGAACAGTACTTTTACTAGTATGGTGACATGTGGCGGTGATTGTAGCACTCAACAGATGGGATTTCAGTGTCAACAAGTCAATATTTTCATATTAACGGTGGATAAAATGTTATGTGTAATGTGAAAGGAGTTTCTCGTGGCGATGAACCCACAGAGAATCATCACCTGACAGCAGTTTCCCTCAGATTCACGGAGGGTTGCAGCATCTTTGATCTTATTGTTTTGACTTTTCAGCCTGCAACTTTACAGTTTTGGTTCAGCTCACGCATCAGTATTGTTTTCGGTCACAGCAGGCAGCTGTTTTCAGCAAAAAAAACTCTCTAAAACAACTGTACACTACCTGCCAAGCACCAAGCAGAAGAATTTAGCGACTAGCTGGTGAACATAGCGGAGCATTTGAAAGCTTAAGAACTATATATTTATTTTTGGAGTTAGTAGTGCAGTGGTAACCAAGGACAGCAAAAAGGAGAGTCTGATAGCGAGAAACATGACTAATGTTTCTCAGTATCTGCTGCATTGTAAATAGGCTACTGTTAAATAACAAGTTCAATCAGCTTAAAAGGTGATGATATGTTAGTATTGTGTTCACAGGTTGTCCCTGAGTGGCCAAAAATCAGTTATTGCAGGTTTAACACATTCATTTACAACATATGTGTATGTTATCAGTATATTATGTTAATATAAATGCTGCCAGAAAAGCCCATACCAAACTCTTCATGCTTTTAGATAAGACGCGTCAGAGTCACAAAAGTGTTTATACACCCAACTTGTGGAAGATCTCTGAGGCCAGTGTTTAATTAATCTAAAAAGAAAGCCAGGGCCTTGTTATGCGCTTTACAACTAGTAACCCAGTCTACATAAACCAAACATGTGTGCCTGTCTAAACCTGAAATGTTTTAAATCAAACCAGTCACCTCCATTGGCCATGCTGCTGTTGACCAGCTTGTTCATCAGGTTGTGATTGCGCTCGGTGGTGGCTCGCTCATGGTTGTTTAGGTAGGATGGGATGTAATTGGAGGTCAGCTCCTTCAGGATCTTCTTCTCCAGGGTGGTCTCCTTGTGGTTGCTGTGGGTGCCATAGCCACCACTACGGTCTAGAATCTGGACGCAGTCGCTCAAGTACTCACTGCTGGCCATGCTGTAGTTGTTGGCATGATTACCATTTAGAGGGAGCGTATCCATAACACTGGAGTCTCTTGCGTTGTTCAGGATGCCCTCTGAGGAACAAATAATTATAAAAAAAGTAATAATTACTAGGATTCTTAAATAAACTAAGTGGATTTTTCAGAAGAGAGATTTTAATTATTGTTTGATATCATAGCATGTGCTGTGAATTGAGGATTAAAAAGTAGCAATGATAATTTTCTTGGAAGGAAAAATGCTTCAAGCGTCCATAATTCATTTAAGAGAAACCTCAGAAGTATTTTCTTTTCTCAATTACTGCCAGCACTACAGCAATACAAAAAGAAGAGTTAGAGTTTCACTGTAAAATAAGATAAATGTTTTGAAGTGACACTTAATTATTTCTACTATTTATTACATTGCAAGCCATTTTAAGGGCAAACCTACTGCATCTCTTTTATAACTCAAACGTCAATTTGCAATTTGGAATATTCAAGGAAATTGTTTTTAGAACAGCATATTTTAAAAGAATATGTTAAAAGCTAAATTACGCAAGTGTATTATATGGACTGACAACAACAATTTTGAAAAAAAAAAAAAACAGCTGCAAACTACTGTTTGGACATAGATTAGACTGAAAATGAGTACTGAAGCAAGAAAAGAGAAAAGAAAGTCGATGTTATAAGTAGGTGAGTATTAATTTAGCCCATACTTGTGTCTCGGTAAGGTGCTAATGGACAGCATGAAGGAGAAGGGAGAAAAGACACAGATGTAAGTTCATATATCAAAAGAAATAACTTTCAGCAGCTACAAGATCAACATTTGCAAGGTAATTAGAGGTATGATGAAAAAAATTAAAACAAAGAGACCATATGTCTCAAAATCAAACTCTGTTTTTCATGGTCTCACTGTTAACTAGCTGCTATTAAATAGTTCATTATTATTATTACTTATTTTTATAACACAGAGGAAACATAAAAACACACCTCACAAATTCCATTTAAAACATAGTTTATATACAGTAGACATGCACTAAGACAAGCAATACACAAGTCCCGACTGACACATACAAAATGACAGTCAAAAATGAAGCATATAGTGTATAAAATCGAACATTTACACAAAAAAGTACAAATATTTCATGGCTCCCAAGTAGCTTATAAAAGAGTGAAAGTGAATCTGCAGCCAGTAACATATAGCATGCATCTATAGCACACAATAAATCAGCATGTGAACTTGTTATACTGTTTCGATAAATCATCAACAGAATTTCCTCTCCACATTTATGTGCTGTGAGAACTGCCCAGTGGGTGTCCTTTGTGAGAGATTATTGCAGTGTGATTGATTGCCTCACTTGGGAGCCATAATAAGGCTAGATCAGATATGCAGCCAAAAGTGTATCACGGTAGCAAACATTTTAAAATGAAATAACCATGCAAAATAAATGTAATGTAGTGAAAAAAATAACTCCAAGCTAACTTTCCAAGTGTTGTACATTTATAATAGGAACATCAGGCACACCTTGGGTGTTGTACATGCCCACGGCTGGGTTGTTATAGACTGCCGAGTCCCCCAGGAGAGTGTTATAAGGATTGTTAGTACCATGGGGACGAAGGAGAGCATTAGTTATAAGATGATTAGCCATGGCTCCTGGTACAGGCAGATAGAGAGAGAGAGAGAGAGAGAGAGAGGAAGAAGAAGAGCAACAGCCAAGTCGAGAGAGGGAGAGAGAGAGAGAGAGGAAAAGCAACAGCCAAGTCAAGAGAGAAAAAGAGAAAAGCACTCGAGAAAAAAAAGGCAGAGATAGAGGTTGAAGGACAGAGCATGTAGACATTGTAGAGTGTAAGTAAGCGAGAAGGAAAAAGAAGAAGGGAGAGTGAGATGGAAAGTGAGTGTGTGGAAGAAAGAGGGAGAGAAGAGGACAAGTAAATCAAACAAGCAAACATAGTTTGAGGTGAAAGCCAAGAAAAAGCTTGACAAGTCATTCTTGCAGCCACTGCATACAGGCCGAGCCGAGGGAGAGGACGAGAGAGAGAGACGAAGAGAGAGTAGCGTAGCTCGAAGAAGATTGTGCTGCAGTTCTATACGCTTGAGCAGAGCAGCATGACTACAGGATAGTTAATGGACAAAAGGGCTACAAAAAAGTGCATTTTCTTCCCTAGGTGGGAGACAGATCATGTACACATAAAGACACTGCAGAAAAACAGAAGACGAATGACTGTGACAGCTTCTATACATTAATCCTTGTGTTGTATGGTCCCCTTAATGTAATACACTACCTCTACTACTCCTAAGTGAGTATGTATGACACATAGCTTCAAACCATAGGCTACAGGGAAAAAACTGAGACACTAAAACCTCTCTGTTGTGACAGGGGATTTTGGTAAGAGGCACCAGTGTGTAGCTAAAAGAAAATACCACAACATTTTAGTTATCTTACTCTTAAATCCACTGTTTTGGGATACCACAGTTCATATTAGTAAAACTTCATTACTATTTACCTTTTTAGAAATAAGAAATTGGCCAGCAGCCTGAACTTGGCCGACAGTTCGAGGTAGAATAAATTGACTGGATGGACTGAATGGAGAAAGTGGAGTGTGGCAGAATACTTAATACTGAATGATTTTTGGAGAATATAATAGAATAGAGTAGATTCTTTGGTAAAAAAAAAAAATAAATAAATAAATAAATAAAATAAAAAATATATATATAACACATAAACACATAAAAATGTCTTAAAATGTATTTCAACGTTAAAATTAACACATTCCTTCTTCATTTTACCAATTTCAACAAGTCAGTCTCCTATCAGAATATCCCATTTATTCCACCCCATCCTTACTCACTAAGCCACAGTGTGTAGTCATTTGAAATCTACTGGCTAAGTAGCTCTCTGCACCATACTTTAAAGTGTGAGGGAGGGAGGAGGTGGGGGTGTCTTAAGCTCTGCCTCACTAAGTGTGTGATAATTCAGCTGCTGACACACACCGTGTCTGCTTTAGCATCAATCTGTCATGCTAACAGCTTATTAGTGGCCTGAAGGAAGTGAGGGCCACACCTCGAGTTAGAGACTAACAAATGACAGTATGTGCGTGTGTGTGGAAATGTCTGGCCGTTTGGGTGTCTATGTCCTCATTACCCTAGACCTCAGACAGCTATACTTATCTATCTATACTTCATTCTTAAAGTGGCTTACTCTGGAGGGACAGTAAGAGTCAGCTCCGAATACAGTGCACTGAGCATAATGTTCATTTAATTTGATGTTCATTTCGTAACAAAAGTAGCCTTCGTATAGTAAGATGAGCTAGGCTGAACGTACAGATTCTAAAGCAAAAACACTGCAAAAGTTTTCCCTACTTCACCATACATATACTATAGTGCTGTGGTGAAAACAAACTCATGCTAAATTTTAAAAGCACCACCTAAAGTGACACACTACTACATTTAACTAATAGTAAAGCATTAATCTAAAGCAACTGTGCATAACTTATAGTATTATAATAAAGAGACCATTGGTGTTCAGCTCAAGACTTGCACACATACTTTAACGTAAAGGATTTATCACCCCACAAATGCTTCAAAAGATGAATATCCTTTAAAAAGGAAAGTACAGAAGCGCTCTGTAGCACAGTCAGCTCTGTACTATATAGATTTATAATGGGAGTACAAACTGGTTGATGTTTTAGTTTGAGCAAGAGTCTGCTTCTAACTCTCCCTCCTGTAATGTCATCCTTTGAAGCACCAACAAAGTAGGAAGTGATATTTACACTCTATTCTGCTAATCTTCCTCTCTACAAGAACACAGTGCCATTATCAGAAGTTTGGACTCCTACCACTTTACTAAATGACAGCGTATGCTGTCTGAGCCTCCCGCTATTAATAAAGTAGATATGGTGACAGTGATGAGGATGCAAATGGTAGGTATCCCGTGGTTACCTCTGTTGAGCGTGGCGGAGCTATTGATGTCTCCAGTGATGAAGGAAGACTCCTGTTTCCTCACAGTGTCATTCCACATCCGCCTGATACGACTCTGTACACAGGAGAAAAGACGAGAAAGAGGAATAGAGGGAAAAGTAGGTAGAGAAGGTGTGGACAAAGACACAGAGGAGTAGCAATAATGAAGGGGAGAAGGAATAAAGGGAAGAGGGCAGGGACAAGTCAAGAGAGGGACGACATGAAGACAAAAGAGGGAAAGAAATATGGTAAGAAACGTAATATATGGGGGTGTGATGTGCAAAAGAAGGGCAAATTAGTGCAGGAGAAGAGAGAAAGAAAAAGCAAAGCAACGACCAGTGAGAGAGAAACAGGTGGGGGAAAATAATCACCCGTCAATGCCATTTATACTCCATCTACCTGTGTGTCAGCATCAATTTGAGGAGGTGTAAGTCAGGGTTTGGGCTATCTCACTTTCAACACAAAATCCACATTTTAAGTCGTCCCATATTGTAAATACTGTAGTTCTAACATAATCAGATATTCACAATGTCCATATAAAAAGTGTTGTTTTTTTTGCTTGTTAAAGTCTGCCTACAATAAAATTGAAGTTGAAAGTGATCAGCGATAACCCAAAACCCTAATGGCGTGCTCCGGCCTCACCTGAGAGTCTGCTGTGCTGTAGCGTCCAGGTGTGCAGGCAGGTAAGCTCACCTGTGAGCCTGTGGAGTAGCGGCCCGGGGTCCGTGACGTGGTGGTCTTGCTGGAGGAGGAAATAGACGTCTCCACGCTCTTGCCACTGCAGCAGTGCGTACGCAGACATTTGCCGTACTCTTTACGCACCTGGACAGGGGAGGGGTGTGATGGAGAGCGTTACACACAAACACACTACGCGCATATATTCAATTTAAAGAAAGCTAATGTGAAGGAGGAGGAACTGACTGATGAGCCACTTTTAACTTGCACATATTGGAGCATATTTTTGAGATGACATACTAAGAGGAAGAAACAGGAAAGGCTTAACTTGATATAGTGTCTCTGTTAACTTCTTATTCTACTCAAATTCCTTGTGCAAACACTAACTCCATAACAATTTAGACATTAAAGGATTAACTTCGTAAACTTTCTCCCATCAGCATCCACCCGAAATGTTATTACTGCCACATATCCATCTGAAATGGACATATTCCTTTGGGAGACATATGATGCACTTGTACACACAGAACATCTGCATTTAGATCACAATCAAGTTAGAACAAATAGGACTGTAATTGCTTTTTAACAAGCTTGTTGGACTGGCAGACGTGTATTGCCACATGCTCTGTTTGAACAGCTGTGTGGTGAGTTGCTCCATGGATCTCGGGAGAAACCATGTTGGGCCGTAGCCAAAGAAAACCTCAGTTCTGTTCTGAGGACATATCTCTCAGGATACCTGATCCCATGGCTTGTTTATTGGTCGTACACTAAAAACTCTCTGTGGGACGGCAGCCAGACGAGAGTATTAAGCATTTGATGAATTTTCTTTCCATGTCCTACTCCTCTTCTGTACTCCAAGGCACTGACAGTGTGTGGGAGACTCTGTAAAAATATCCCAGGATGTGTAGGATCTTCCTGGAAGCCATCATATAATTTAAATTTAAAAAAGGGGAACATATGCATTCACAAAGGCATCTAATCCTTTAGGCCAACTATACCCAAACATATATGAAGGAGGTCAACTTTTCAAAATGAAAGAGGAGTTGCAAGGGGAGCTGTGTATCAGTGTGAGCGAGGTTAATGTATTAAATCATAGAAGCCTCAGAGAAGTCAGCATCAGAGGAGTGATGCAAACACTGCCACTGAGACCTGAGATCAAAACAGACATATATTTCCTCTGCATGTGTTCAAAATTTAAAATATTTCGAGCTACATATTACCAAAGTTTTGAACAAGCTATTTCAGGATTGATGACTCTGCCTGATGATGAAAAACATCTTTTTTGTCCAGGAAAGATTAGCAGCTCGGTTTGTTACCTGCTGCCACAGTGAGAGAATTGAGCAGTGTCATCAGCGTTACTGAATGACCAATCAAACCTGTGACAGCTTTGCAGGTATTTTTGGTGTCTCTACTGATCAGTGCTAGCATGTGTGTGTTTGTGTCTGCGTGTGTCTGTATTTGTCTGCCCGTCACACCATCTGTCTATTTCTGTTTAGCTTTGTCTGTTTTCCCCCCTCACCTTCTTCTGCAGTATGCAGTGAAAGATGAAGATGAACATGCCCTGCAAGGAGTTGAAGATGGTGAAAAGGTAGGCCATGATGACGGTGCTCTCGTTGATGTACATCAGGCCAAAAGCCCATGTCAGGCCCAGCAGACACAGCAGGGCTATGGCCCCGATCACCCAAGACCTACAGAAGAGGGGAAGTAATTGAAAGGGGGAAATTTGAATTACAATTTCATTAAATCATTTGCTACGTCACATTATAATTAAGTATAAGTTATGTATATAAGTATATGTTGCAAGCTGCATTTTAAGTAAGATAACATGAAAAGGCTTGTCTCTCTCCCTGAATCAGAAAAGCTATTCAGCAGAGTTTGATGCATGTGGGACCATGAGGCAGGAGAAAGGGGTTATAGAGGGTTCCTTCCGAATCCCATCGCTGTGGGAGAGGGATAGAGAAAACAGTGGGAAGTTTTGCCAAAAAGAATTACACTCTTACGAAAAGAGTGAGAGAATAGAGAGGTAGTGGATTTGCTCATTTAGATACCATCTCAAGAGAGGGAGGGGAGGTTATAAGCCAGCTGACGTCAGCCACTAGGGTAGAGAAAAGTCAAGCCTACAAGTTTTTTTTTTCCAAAGTTACATCCAAACTCTATCCCTCACTCTGTCATGCACAGCAGAGTGTAAAAGACGTTTTCACAGGCAAAAAGGGGCACTGAAGTCTGTTAGTGCAATTGTGACTATAACATTTTAGTGGAATTAAATTTCATAAAAGTTTCCAAGGCTGTGAACGGCCATTTCAAATAAAGAGAGAGAATCATAAAGGCCAAATGTCAAAGGAAGTTGGTCGTGTCGAGGCATGTGTATGCATTGTAAGTCCTCCCTTGAGCGTGTGCGTGTGATTCTGCGTGTGGCCATGTGAGTGGCTCCACTGGGCAGTAAGTATAGGGACATTACAGCCATTATAAATGACATTTCCCACTAAAGGTCACAGTTTCAGGGTCTGCCACAGCTGCAAAGATGGCTGTTAATTTGATTGGCTGACTGGGCAGTGATCACCTCTCGTGAGGGATTGGAGGCGGAGAAAGGGGGTAAGGGAAGAAGGAGGTGGGGGGTGGAGAGAGAAAAACACAGAGGGGGAGATATTAGGAGAGTCAGGAGGAAGGAAAAGAGAAAGAGGAGGAGAGTAAGTGAGTGAGACTGAGGTGATTGATTCGATGTTGCCCTCTGTGGCACCATTCAGGCGAGACAGAAACTCCAATAAAGCTCGTCTGACGACCCTCTTCAATAAAGGGTACAATCATCCCTCTCTTTTCCATCCCTTCATACCAACTCTTCCTCCAGTGCTCCCTTGAGTCATGATTTTTCTCTCAGCTCTGTTTCCCCTCATTCACATCTCACCATTATAATATTTCAATAGCACATTAAGTCTATAGGTCACAGGAGCTCACAAATCACACATCAACAAGTAATCCATTTCACAAGGCAGGTTAATGGTTAATTTAGGGAAATGCATAAACTCTAGGCAGGTTCTACAACAAATAAGACAACAAGCAAACCAATCAAAATGTCTTCAGGAAGACGAAAGGCAACCTGATTGGAGAGTGGCCTTACCAGAGCCAATCCACAACAAAGACAACTTGTGATGGCTTGGAGTTAAAGAGACAAAGAAAACAAAAGGAAGAAAAAATAATAAGACAAAAAGGGCATGATGATGATTAACAAGTAAATGAACCACTATAAGACATGACTAATGAAGTGAAATAGATTAAAATCTATTCAGCCTTCAGTGTGCTCAAAAAGAAGAAGGAAAGTCATTAAAAAGGAAAAAAAGATCCGAAAGCATCATATTCTAAATTGCTCTTTGATTTTCATCTTTCATCAGGCTTTTTGATTACATTTCTCTAAACTGCACTGAAGATCAGCTGGTTTCGTCTGTATTTCTGAAGCGCTTCCCACTTGAAGTCCTACTTAAAACTGCTGTCATGAAAGATACATTGGCAGTAATATTTAAATGATAAATCGAATGGGTGAGCCATTTCGTGTTTTACATTTGATATTCTGAGCTGTGCCTCAGTAAGGCGTTGAGCTCTGAGCCATGGCATATTGTTTGAATTAGACTGAGCCTTTTGTCTTGAGCTGCACTGGAACAGGAAAAAAAACGCAATCCTGATTAGTTAGCTTAGCAGGCAGAGAATCAGTGGAAATGAAGTCATATTTCAGTGACATTCTCTGAGGGTGATCTAAGTAGTAATGACTGGGACTGGGAATACGATGAATTCAATGAGATGAGAATGTGCTTCATGCTAACATGCAAAACAAAAAAAGGTTGACAGACGTAGTTAGACATTTATTAGCTTTTTTTGCTGAGAGCTTGATGAGAAGATGGATGCCACTCTCAAGTCTGTATGATAAATGCAAAGTTGAAACCAGCAGGCTGTGTCTAAAGCAAACCAAATCTAAAGCTCACTATTAACGCTTCATATCTTGTTTGTATGATCGGCACACAAACTGAAAATTAGAAACATATTTTTGCCCTTTTACAGGAGGTGGCGTGACTAGTTCTCTCCGGGGCAAAAAATAGTCTGGCATATAACCCCTTGTAAAAAAGACACAACTTGTAGTTTTATACTTTGGTTTTTGTTCATACAAAACACACAAGATATAACATGTTACTTAGTAAGCTTTAGATGTGCTGGTATGAGAATCTTGTTGCCATCTGACAGTTTGGTTTGCTGTTTGCCCTTGTTTCCAGTCTTAATGCTAACCTAAGCACCTAAGGCTCCACCTCCATATTCAACAGCCAGACATGAGAGAGCTATCAATCTTATTATTTAACTCTCTGCAAGAAAGCAAATAAAAGTATAACATAATCCATACACACAGGCATAATCACTCCCGCTTTCAAAACCAGGCGTGCTGGTGTGATGGCAGTGACAGTATGCATACATGTACTTACTTGATGTTGTCCAGACATCCAGAGTCTGGTTTGAGAATGGCCGTATGATGGAACATCTTATAAAGAGCGATACCGAGGAAGATTACATTCAGCTAAAACACACACAGACACACACACATACCAGTTAATATTCTGCAGCAACAAGCCTAATTAAAGACACAATGTCACCACAACAATTCACTCACACACAGTGCATATCATTTCATTTTCCCTTCCAGCAGTAATTGGCTTGGGGACACAGTATCAGCCCACAATCAACAGCCCCTTTATGTGCTCAAAATACAGCAGCTTGAGCATCAGGGGAAAATACAGCAGTCATTACATCCATTGAGGATCATTGTTACAATAGAAATCCAGTTCTCACAGATGCTGTCTATTCTTTTGGCCTGCTAATGCATAGATAGAGTGGTTTAATAATGACTGTCTGGAGTGTTGTGCTGGGTCTGAGGCTGTATATGTTACCAATGGACATAGAGCCATAACATTGTGGTCCCACCTACACCACTCCTACTTACTGCCCTGGTTAGATGAGTGATAGCCTCCCTGACATTTCATAAATGAGTACAGAGAATCAGTGTACATACTGGCATTCACCTAATTGGGAACATCATTCTCTGTTTCCCAAACACAATTTTTTATGGGGTTATTTTGCTTTTTTTGTCAGTGTGTCTGTCAAGTCATCTACTCTATTTCTGGCTCTGTTTACTTGTTTAAGGTATGATGCCTGTTCCTGCTCCTCAGAGCAGTTTTCTGACTGCTGAAGCATCATTCATTCTTGACTGTGTTTCCCTTTTTACTGTGTAATTGGGCTGCATTGTAATAAAGTAACAAGGTCAGGAAGAAGTACAATGCCTGTATCATCAAATAAGTGCATAAGAGCAACATAACTTTGTTTAGTTCTTAACTGTGGTTTGTGCTTTATGTCTAAAGATCTCCAGCTTGTTGGAATATGTGCCCACTTAAGAGTTACTCCAAAAGTGGGAATTATTAAGTTGACACATAAATTCCTTCTGCTTCCACTGCTGAGGAGCTCAAGCAAACCTTGTAGGAGATTTAATGTAACACGTCACTGCTGCATGAACATGTAGCAGTCAGTCTACTCTGTTCATGTAATGCTACTGTATGTCAAGTATGTGTGTGAGCATGCATGTATGTGTATCTCACCATAATGATAAGTGTAGCAGGGCCTATGAAGCTCCATATAAAGTACGTGTCCAATCGCAGCCAGCACCTACAGAGACAGAGGAAGAGAAAGAGTGAGTAAGAGGGAGAGAGAGACATCATGCATGAGAAACAGAGGGGGAGAAGAGCAGGAGAGGAAAGACGCATAGGGATTAAAAACATGCTCCACTCTCAGATGGATGTAGGGTAGCAAGGATTTACCATCAGAGGACAGGACATGCATCATAGTTACACACACACACACAAATGAGGTAAAGAGGGGAAAAAAGCAGTACATTATATGAGATACAGTATATCGAATACATCCCGATAAAGGGAGGACAAAAGGAATTGGGAGGGTGAAAAAGTGAAAGAGATGAAGAACAGTGAGAAAGGTGCTGCAGAATGAAGTAAATACGCACACCTCGAACATACATCACATACAGAAGGAGAGACAACGAGGGATGAGCACCTGTGATAAATAAACCTTTACTTCCCTCTAAGGGCACAGATATATGACATGGCCACATCCTGCGGTCACAAAAATATGACATGACTGTGTTCATTTGAATACTGAGTTATGGATGTAGCCCTCATACCAGGCTATTTATGGAGTCTGGGAATGGCTGTGGTGAGGTTAAAGGAAAAGGGGAGGGACACACACACACACACTTAATATATACACACAATCATGCACCCACACATTCGGAGACAGAGGACATGCATGTACACACACAATCATACACACCCATTTCTGACCACAAGCTTAGCATTTGGTAGTAAAAGATATACTGCTGTATGCTAAATTATATCACCCCAAACATCTTCACTCATCAACTGCAGCAGCAGGGGAGGAAAAAAAATGTCCCCGACTGCCCTCCACTGAGGTCAGACCCAACGGGTTGCAGCAAAAGGTGTCAGAGAAAAACCGCTGGAGCAAAATGGCCGACTGATTCATGACCAGCTGCTTTTGAATTATTAATCTTTCAATTTCCACCACATTAGAGAGCCTTCCATTATGGGTCCCTGCCTGTGTCACTGTATCCACCATTAGGGCTCCTCTGCTAAGTCATAGCAACCTTCATTATAGGAGGTGAATGAGACTCAGTGCCACCGGCTAATATGGGAGAGAATGGGGTCCTTTGTGTGACAAGGTGACACAGCAGGGATGGCAGATGATATTTCCAGAGATTTTGTCTCAATGTGTTATGTCAAACATGATAAGCGGTGCCATTTTCAAGGCTGGACTGATGAATGAGTCATATAACTTATTTTCTGCTTTTTATGGAATGTACTATTAAAATACTTCTACTCAACTTCTTTTCAAATACATGAGACGTGAGGCAATTAAAAGCAGAAACATTGTTTGGGTGAACTACAAGAAAATATTTTTTTAACTTACGTATATCAGTGCGATTTGTGTCTTTGTTATTCTCCCAAAACATATCACTTAATTTAACATTTTTACTCTTGAACCATAGCTACTGTCTCAAGTCCCATTGTCTGTTAGCTAATGGCATGCAGCCTGATTATTCATCCAGAGCTTGGCATTCAGACTCTCATGTTTTAATGATCATCCTACAATGAAATATTGATCTAAGTGGCATAGGGATTGGTGTGGCTTGATGGTTAAACGCTGCTAAATTCAACCCTTTTCCCTTTCTTCCCTGGCCTACACATCACCTCTATGAGCTGATGTGTACCTAGTGGAGAGCTGAGAGTTCTGAACTACAAAAAGCCCCAAGAGTGGCACAGAACGTGAGCATGTGAATCATTTAACGGTTGTATAGTGTCCTGTTACTTTTACAATCTATATGAAGTCGCTCATTTATAAAAGAGATTTTTCTAATGCAAATGTTTAAATGCAGTGTCCACATTGTTAATTCTCTAGTCCTTGCGCTTTCATAGAGTCAAAGAATTGTGGAGAGGTCATGGACATATACATTATGTGCACATTATGCACATAATATCCATACGCACTGTATGAATAAAATGTTGGGCTCTTTTCAAACTCATAGTAAGAATGAAGTGGACAAGTCACGCATGTGAAAGTGTTATTTTGTTCACTGGTGTATTTGTAGGTATTCTATTATGCATATACTTCATATGAATGAGATGCTGACTGCCTTTTCATGGATTAACCCTGTGTCTCGGGTTGGGATAAGTCAAGCATGCATGAATACGTTACCATGTGCTCTTAATGTATGTCATCATCCCACTCACTTTCTGCATTTCCTCCAGGGAAGCAAACAATTGCAAGCCAGTATGGATGTGTGCACACCCTGACAGACTACTCCATTCCTCTATTCTCACACTCTCACACTTAAACCACTCCTTTTTTCCCTCAGTCTGCTTCACAGTGCACCCCCTTCGCCTATCCCGCCCTGTTAAATCCTTCCATATTCACACATTGTTGCTGCTGTGCTCATGCAGTGCTTGTGCATCCTCCCCTGCTTGTCCCCATACTTCCCCCACTTCCTTCTTCTCTGCCTCTCTCTGCCTCTCTCTATTGACGCTTCAGAAGTACCACAGCTTGTAGAGACCACTGTGGCAGACGCAGCCAAAATGACAGCAGGCACTCCAGTCTCCCTCCCTCCTTCCCTCGCCCCATCATCCATCCTTCCGTCACGCTACGCTCTCTTTGCCACCCCTCTGTCCTTACACTCGGTCGGTGCCGTAGCTCCTGTAGTCCACTGCAGCAGAAACAGCCACTATGACAGCAGGCACTCCATATCCTGCCAGGTAGAAGTACTTAGTCCTGGAGTGCTCGCTCTCGAACACCTCTACCAGCATGATGTAGAGCTGCACCCCTTCCAGGAACATCCAGGTGAAGGCTGCCAAGAAGAAGAAATGGAGCAAGGCCGCGAAGACTGCACAGGCAATCTGTTGAGGGAAAGAAAAAGATGGAGAGGATTTAAAAATACAGTAACACTACACACAATAATTCTCAGGAAATATTTAATCTGGTGGACACTTGCACTGATGAGTTAGAAAGTGGAAAAAAGAGACAAACACTGCAGGCGATAAGGGTATGAGTCAGACTTAGAAAGTAATCATTTATCATATTCACATAAAGAAGGAAATGTGAGGGATTAAAATTGGTCTGCCAATACTGGAATAGACTGGAAAGGAACAGGATAAAGCAAACATAAATAGAGGGAACACACAATCATAGTATACTATAACAGCAATTACAGAATGACTCAAAATAGCTTCAAGATTTCAATATTAGTGGAGCCTCCTTCACACTCTATTCCATGTCTACATTCTACAAGTCATCTAAGAAGATAAATGAGAAAATATAAATGACAAATTGTTGCTGCAGCCTCTGCTGATTGACCACATTTCAAACATAGGTGGCAAAGCACTTTTCAAAAGGGGCTGAGAGAGAAGAGGTGGGAGGGGTGTTGAAGAGGGCGAACGACTTGGCAACACTACAAATACAATATGATTTTTGTCAATGCCAAGGATGAACAAAAATGAGCGGAACTGCTGCAGAAGTGACTCAGCAGATTGGTATGAAAGAGACAAAGCACACATAAAATTTGACACATTTTAAAGCTTGGAAAAAGCCGGCAGTAACATCAGTTTAGATACTTAATAGCTGGGGACGAATTGCAGTTTTTATGCAATTACTAGAGCAGAACTGTATGCAAACTATATAGTCAAAATAATGTACAAGTTCTTCAGTTAGTTTCTTGTGAAATGGCAATTATCAAATATCAAATCAAATTCATAACATCACCAGTGGTTATACATTCGCACTAAAAGTGAGGGAATGGATTTGAAATGACATTGTTAGTAGCCAGCGAATAGTGACGGATGAAAGGGATGTAAAAGAGTTAGAGAGGCAGATGATAAAATACTTAGAAAACCCTGGGAGAAAGTCTCCTGAATGTAAAAAAGAAAAAAAACAGAGCAGCAAAGGATGAGCATTAGGAAAATGAAAGAGGGGTATCAAGCCTAAAACCGCATTAACAATTCAGGCAATGGGATGGGAAGAAAAGAGGGGTGCTTAAGAAAGGAAGGCAAGGAAAAAATGAGCGGAGCGATCTGGCCTGTCACGTTCATGGCAATGTTCTAATCTAAAGAGTCACTCCTAAATCATTGAATGGGAGCTAACAGACAGACTTTTATATTGGAGGGGTTTGCAGCGAGAGACAATTACCTAATGTCTGAGAGACAATGAGTTTAGGGGGCGAGGGAGTCACTCATTTCCATTTCTAATGATCGCACAGTGTAGCTTACTCACAAAAGACACACACATGCACACACACAAAAAAAAAAAAAAAAAAAAAAAGGTGCTGCCTTATGCAAAGACATCATTTAGTTCCCCTGCTTGAATTACTTGGCTTAACCGAGGCTTGCGAGGCTAAGTGGACGCTGAGGATGTTAATGGAGGGTCACAAATAGTCACCATAGTAATTAACGGAGATGGCAACAGCACAAATACAGTGGGCGCACAGTACAGTACAAAGGAAACATGATCGCTCCCACACAGACACACATAGGACCCTGCAGACAAGAAAGGAACAAAGACGCACAAGACCTCCAGGATCAAAAACCCATTCAAATCAAGTGAGATATAGTGGTCATATCTAATTTGCATGAAGAGAGTTTTATCGTCCAATGTAGAGCATAGGCGGAAATACAAAGCCCAGGACTGCGCATGACCAATGAGATACCTTGAATACGATGGAGGAAGATAAAGATTACAGGAGCCCCGAGAGACAACAGTATCCATCCCCCACACGAAGACCGAACACCTGTCTAAAATGATGTACAAGACAACAACGACAGGACAACAAGAAAACATAGCCTACGCATAGCACTAAGGTGTTACAAATGAGTCCGAAGACTAGCAATACGAGGTGACTCACTGACGACCGCTCGACACGAACATCGAGACGAGGTGTCCTAACAAGTATGAAAAAAAAAGGATGAAGTTGTATTAATATACCAGTGTGCCCAAGGTAGAGAAATACAGAAAGGAGAATGTCTTAACACAGAGAATGACGATGACGTACAGACACAAGTCTTGTTTTGTGTGTACCTCATGACTGCTTATGCTGAGAGAGAGGCGTGTGATATACAGAGAGGCGTTGGTATCCATAGAATTTTTGAACAGGTTACTCTGAAACGAGTGGCGACTATATGTAGATCGC